CTTTTTCAATCTTTGTAAAGCTTTTTATTTTGCCATGTCGTTCAGCACTTTTTTGTTTAATGTGAGGTGCTTTGGAAAATAAAATCTAGTTTCTTTTTCTGGTAATATTTTCTTTATTCTGGACATTTATATTTATTAGAAATTAATATTTTTAATATCCAACTTTTAAAGTTTATTTCCGGCTAAATTAACACTCCCAATCAAAAGAAAATCGAGAATATTTACGTTCGTTATAGATTCTTGAATAGGTCAACACAGTGCAGAAAAAAAAGAAAAAAGTTCAAGTTACAGCAAATTGCCTTTTAACATACATTGTTTTTGCTTCTACAGCTATCACAGAATTCTGTAAACACACATTAACATTTTCTACTCCATATTTTTATGTTAATTCTGAAATGAAATTATTGCAGCCTCTGAATCATTCAACTTATCTAAGCTCTTGATCTTATCTTGAAGGAGAGTAGTTCGTACCACAAAATGACATATGTAGAGTTTGTACATATGGACAGCTGTACCACACACACTCGGTGATGTGGTATATAGATACTCGAGCCAAACCTTTGCTCAGCTGACAATTTGTTGCCTTTCACATGCCGAGTTTTCTTGGTTAAATATGAAGGCGGATTCTTTAGATAAATTAGATGAATTTGAACCCTTATATGGCGCTCTGATACTGAACCCATTTTAGAGCCCTGAGGGTAGAGTCTTATGTGAGCACCTGTTGGAGAACCTTTGTGTTGATGCCTTAGGTGTTGATGTCTTAGGTGTTGATGTCTTAGGTGTTGATGTCTTAGGTGTTGATGCCTTAGGTGTTGATGTCTTAGGTGTTGATGTCTTAGGTGTTGATGCCTTAGGTGTTGATGTCTTAGGTGTTGATGCCTTAGGTGTTGATGCCTTAGGTGTTGATGTCTTAGGTGTTGATGCCTTAGGTGTTGATGTCTTAGGTGTTGATGTCTTAGGTGTTGATGCCTTAGGTGTTGATGCCTTAGGTGTTGATGTCTTAGGTGTTGATGTCTTAGGTGTTGATGTCTTAGGTGTTGATGTCTTAGGTGTTGATGCCTTAGGTGTTGATGCCTTAGGTGTTGATGCCTTAGGTGTTGATGCCTTAGGTGTTGATGCCTTAGGTGTTGATGCCTTAGGTGTTGATGTCTTAGGTGTTGATGTCTTAGGTGTTGATGTCTTATGGGGTGAGAGGCAATTCTCTATAGGTGGAAGGCCTCTTGTGCAGCCCCTGAATGAGAAAGTTCCCTGAAAAGCGTTCACAGTCCTTTAGAGATCCCTCTAGAGCCCCTGTCGGTGAAGGTGGCCCTAGAAAAGAGTCCCTGGTGAACCTCCGGAAGGTGGAGAGAGGCTCCTAGTCTGTGTCCACCTGTGAGGGTGATGGGCGGAGCTGCCTGCCTTCCGGAGATCAATACCCCAGTACCTCCAGGGCCCCGCTACGCCCCCCACCACCACCCCCCTTTTCCGCTACCCCCACCAATCCTCTCCTCATCCTACCCCCTCCCTCCCTTCGCACCCCCACTACGCCTCTCCTCCTACCCATTTCTACCCTTCGTACCCCCCATCACCCCCCCCCTTCCACCGATCTATCCACAACTAAGCCATCTACTCTCAAGCCAGCAGCTGTAATACATCATTCACACGGGATCTTGCTAAACATTATGTTACAGAGCAACACATTACAGAATTGGAATTGAATTACATTCGAGATAACAACACACAGACAAACGCACGAGTGAGTTCGAGCGATTCCCGCCTCGTCTTAGTCATGTTCCACACATACAAAGTATCTACAACATATAAATACAGATCTCTGCCCTGGCCACAAGCAATAAGTTGACCCAGCTGATCAGACACTGAAACCCTGCCACCCCCCCCCCCTCCCCGTTCTCACTGGACCGACTGCAGCAACCATTCCACCAATTGTCACCAGCTTGTAACACCCAAGGAACACACACACACCCTAGCTTGTAACACCCATGGAACACACACACATCAGCTAGCAGCACAAGAACAGCCGGAACAACAGTCAGCTCACTCTCACTATACGTACTCTACACAGACACCATCACCACAAAGTGCCATATAAGATTGGCAGATCCCCACACCCGCCTCTGACTCAACACTGACTTAACCAGTCAACAGTGAAACAGTCAACAGTGAAACAGTCAACAGTGAAACAGTCAACAGTGAAACAGTCTACACCACGACACTTATCAACACTGCTTTCAATTAAACTTATAAATGGTCATAAACAAAAACTAAAACAAATTGAAAAAACAAATTCTATTCAGTCCCCCATATATATATATATATATATATATATATATATATATATATATATATATGATATTTCTTGCCCAATCATTATAAAAAATACTTATAATGATATAAAGGCCAATATTATATATTAAAAATGTTAAGAGGCTTAGGACGAGACAAATGTTATCAATTATTTATGAATGTAACTAGTCGAAATATTCATCAAATAATTGTATATTTTGGTCATAAAGTCTGATTAAAAAAATGCTGGTACGAATAACTCCATTTTCCCTACGCCCGACGGTACGTCATTATTTAGTTGGAGTAAATGTATAAATATTCGACAGTTTTGCAGGCATAAATGTTGGAAAGTTTTATCAGGAATAAAGTAACAGGTGTTGAGGTAAATGGATCCACGTTTCGGTCACACAAAATTATTATTAAGGTTAAGTAGCAGCTCAAGTAGCAGCTCAAGTAGCAGCTCAAGTAACAGCTCAAGTAGCAGCTTAAGTAGCTGCTGGTGATATAAATACATGCAGCCCACTCGATCCACAACCCTCTCGACCCCCAGCCCATCTCTCTTGACCCCCAGCCCCCCTCTCTCGACCCCCCCAGCCCTCTCGACTCCCTCAGCCCCCCCTCTCGACCCCAGCCCTCTCTCGACCCCAGTCCCCCCTCTCTCGACCCCAGCCCCCCCCCCCTCTCGACCCCAGCCCCCCCCACTCTCGACCCCAGCCCCCCCCCACTCTCGACCCCAGCCCCCCTCTCTCTCAACCCCAGCCCCCCCCCCCCTCTCTCGACCCCAGCCCCCCCCCCCCCTCTCTCGACCCCCCTCAGCCCCCTCTCGACCCCAGCCCCCTCTCGACCCCAGCCCCCTCTCTCGACCCCAGCCCCCTCTCGACCCCAGCCCCCTCTCGACCCCAGCCCCCTCTCGACCCCAGCCCCCTCTCGACCCCAGCCCCCTCTCGACCCCAGCCCCCTCTCGACCCCAGCCCCCTCTCGACCCCAGCCCCCTCTCGACCCCAGCCCCCTCTCGACCCCAGCCCCCTCTCGACCCCAGCCCCCTCTCGACCCCAGCCCCCTCTCTCGACACACAACAAAAAACTCGACAACTACCCTAATGACGTCACCAGCAAGGCGTCGTCACCTCCCAAACAATAAACGTAAATACGTCGTTTTTTTCTGTTTGATTTACCTTACATACGAAATACAGCTCTTAAACACCGTTTTCCCTCCGCGGTGTGTTTTATTTCCCCCCACTCACACACCCGCCTTAGACCTGAGCCGACAGACAAACACCCCCACCACTTCCTTATTCACGTATCCTCCCCCCCCCTCTCGTCTAGATACATGAATCATGTATCCATAAATCTCAGTATGTCTCACCTGTATCACCACAGGCAGCCGCCCGCTGCGACGGTGCTGAGGGCAGAGTCCCCGGGAAAAATTTGAAAAAACTATGCTGTTACGTTGGTGGAATGTTGTGATAACGTAATGTTAACGAACGTTTGGGTAACGTTTCTGTTTGAGTGGGCTTGATTTAAGTCCCCCCCCCCCCACCTACCCAATCATCTATTCCCCCGTGATCTCTTGAACTATTCGTGCATGTTTGTTACCCCTCTAAGGGGGTAGTTCCTCTATAAGGATCGACTCCTCTCTACTTTCAATTCTCAATCCACGTCAACTGCAGACAATCCACCGCAAGCTACTCTGGTCGAGCAACATCTGAAAAGCCAGTTTATGTGAAAAAGTCTTTTAGTCCAGTTAGGAATATCGTACTGAGGACAGCATGCGACACAGTAACTGCAGATAAAGCAGTTCAGGCAAGAGCCACATTACCTGTCTGAGGACAAGGAAATGAACTTGAGAGGACAAAAACTCTAAGCCAGGATAACTGTAACGTGGGAAACAAGAGGACAGAATAGGCGCTGGAGATTGGGAGACTCAAATGAAGGAACGGTGCCTAGCCGCATATTGGACCATTGGGGGATCGAACTTCGACCTGCAAGAAGCAATACCATCAGTATACCGACTAGTAAAAGTGCCTGAGAACACGCCAATCCAAATGTCGTGTCGTTAACACACACACACACACACACACACCACACACACACACACCACACACACCACACCACACACACACACACACACACACACACACAGCTATTCTGTCCAGGACAATACCTCGGCCACCTGCCTCCCAGGGCGAGCCATTTGCACCTTCAAAGACCAGGAGAAGCTCGAGCAAATAGAACGTCATTTAAGAGTGGCACGTGTTTGGCTGCAGGCGACGGATGGTACCCATTCTTCTCTCTAGTGTTCTCCTCTTCCACCTCCTCCTATTCCTACCACTTCTTCCTTCCTTTCTTTCCCCCTTTTAGCCTTTTCTTCTCCTCTCTTGGCCTTCACACTCCCATATTTTCCTATCATATGTGTCCTCTAATTCCTTTCCAATTATTTATTTCTCAATCCTTCCTTCCTTTCTCTCTTTTCCCTGCTTTATTTGCCCCACTTCTTTCCTACCTTCCTTTCTCGCTAATTACTTTCCTCTCCCCCTTGTTTACTCCCCTTCCTCAGAGGTATTCTGGCTTTCCAAAAACATATTATTAAAATGAGGAAATCAAGAGCTTATTTGAGCAGTGTGGAGCTGAATGGTGAGGTCAGGCAGTGTTCAACCTGGCTGTGGTGAGCAGTGCTTCTGCTGCCCCCCCCCCAGCAGTGTCCAGGGCTTCTGCTGCTTACCCAGCAGTGTTTAGTGCTCCTGCTGCCTCTCTAGCAGTGTCTAGGGCTCCTGCTGCCTCTCTAGCAGTGTCTAGGGCTCCTGCTGCCTCTCTAGCAGTGTCTAGGGCTCCTGCTGCCTCTCTAGCAGTGTCTAGGGCTTCTGCTGCCTCCCCAGCAGTGTTTAATGCTTCTGCTGCCTCCCCCAGCAGTGTCCAGTGCTCCTGCTGCCTCCCCCAGCAGTGTCCAGTGCTTCTGCTGCCTCCCCCAGCAGTGTCCAGTGCTCCTGCTGCCTCTCTAGCAATGTCTAGGGCTCCTGCTGCATCTCCAGCAGTGTCTAGGGCTCCTGCTGCCTCTCTAGCAGTGTCTAGGGCTCCTGCTGCCTCTCTAGCAGTGTCTAGGGCTTCTGCTGCCTCCCCAGCAGTGTCCAGTGCTTCTGCTGCCTCCCCAGCAGTGTCCAGTGCTTCTGCTGCCTCCCCAGCAGTGTCCAGTGCTTCTGCTGCCTCCCCAGCAGTGTCCAGTGCTTCTGCTGCCTCCCCAGCAGTGTCTAGTGCTTCTGCTGCCTCCCCAGCAGTGTCCAGTGCTTCTGCTGCCTCCCCAGCAGTGTCCAGTGCTTCTGCTGCCTCCCCCAGCAGTGTCCAGTGCTTCTGCTGCCTCCCCCAGCAGTGTCCAGTGCTTCTGCTGCCTCCCCCAGCAGTGTCCAGTGCTTCTGCTGCCTCCCCCAGCAGTGTCCAGTGCTTCTGCTGCCTCCCCCAGCAGTGTCCAGTGCTCCTGCTGCCTCCCCCAGCAGTGTCCAGTGCTTCTGCTGCCTCCCCCAGCAGTGTCCAATGCTCCTGCTGCCTCTCTAGCAATGTCTAGTGCTTCTGCTGCCTCCCCAGCAGTGTCCAGTGCTCCTGCTGCCCCCCCCCCCCACCAGCAGTGTCCAGGACATTCCTCCTTCCCTTCATTTTCCGTCTCACTCCGCCTGCCTCTCTATACATCTTGCTCTCGTCTAACCTCTAGTGGGCCACGTGAGCAGTTACTCTATTCCCTCTTTTGTTTTTCTCGTTTCATGTTCTCTCTTCCACTTTCCTTCCCTATCCCTTTTCTTGTCCTGCTCTTTCCACCTCCTCCTCCTCTTCTACGCCTCTTCCCGTTCTCATCCCATAAGAGCTCTATAACTCTTTCTACTGTCACCTTAACATGCCTATTTTCGTCTGGTTCTTATATGAAACAAATTTATATTATAGTATCTCAGACAACTCAATTTACCCATAGCTCACCAATTTTACCCACAAATTCAAGATAACCCAATTTATAAACTGTATCGTATGGAATCTCCTAATGCCAATGGATAATTGGAATGTTAGCTTACGCAGTAAATCACAATCACTCGATTTACCTGGTAAATCCCAATCAATCGATTTACCTGGTAAATCACAATCAATCGATTTACCTGGTAAATCGCAAACTATTTACCTGGTAAATCCTCGTATAATCCTTAATCCTCTTAATCCTACAGCAGTCGTTTCTTCTCTCCCTAGTTCCTGTATTTCTGAATTCGACCCCTTTTCGTTTTTTTCGAAATTCAGGAAAAGGAACCATAACATTTGTATGTTCGAAACGTGCCCATTTAACTTGGATGTTCGAAACGGCCCCATTTGCCATGGATGTTTAAATAGTTTCCTGTGCCCCAGAAATGCTGGAAAACTTCCCAAATGGAAACTGGAACACTGCTAGAGGAGTTAATAGGAGCCCTGAATACGCCTCCAGGAGAAAGGGAGTCGTGGTAATTGGATACTGCAGTAGTGGAAAGTTCCAATGACAAATCACCGGTCAGTGTATGTATATTATATATATATATATATATATATATATATATATATATATATATATATATATATATATATATATATATATATATATATATATATGCGTGGTTCTAGTTTTAGATAATACACATTACTAACAACTTTTACGTCTAATATTTGTTTTTTGTTAGACTATCTCCACCTCTCTTTTTTTTCCTTTTATGCTTACGCCTCTTTCAATCTTTCCATTTCTCTATCTACCTTTATTATCACTCCCTTTTCCCCTTGTTCTTTGTCATTCCGTGTCCCCCTCTATCCATCCCTTCCTCCCTTTCATCCTACATATCTCCATTATTGACAACACTTCTTTACCCTTTTCCCCCCTCTTCAGAGTCACTGAGGCTCAGATAATGTGAGGATGAATGAGGGGAAAGGTTGGGGTGTGAGGGGGGAACTTTTCGGGTGTGAGATCGAAGGGGTGGGGTAAGAGAGGGGAAGGGGTGGGGTAAGAGAGGGGAAGGGGTGGGGTAAGAGAGGGGAAGGGGTGGGGTAAGAGAGGGGGAGGGGTGGGGTAAGAGAGGGGAAGGGGTGGGGTAAGAGGGGGGAAGGGGTGGGGTAAGAGAGGGGAAGGGGTGGGGTAAGAGAGGAGAAGGGGTGGGTAAGAGAGGGGAAGGGGTGGGGTAAGAGAGGGGAAGGGGTGGGTAAGAGAGGGGAAGGGGTGGGGTAAGAGAGGGGAAGGGGTGGGGTAAGAGAGGGGAAGGGGTGGGGTAAGAGAGGGGAAGGGGTGAGGTAAGAGAGGGGAAGGGTACGAGAGGGTAAGGGGTTAAGGTGGGAGAGGTAAAGACTGAGATGGAAACGGGCATTTACCTATCAGTTAGCTAGATCAAGGGTTGAAAATTGCTTCAGTTGTTTCCATCTCTTTGTGTGTATTTTTTATCTCACTAACATGTCTCACTAATCACTAACATGTATCCTCCTTTCTTGCTTACTCTCTTTCTCTCCTGCTCTTACAATATTTACCCACATTTCTAATACCCACTTCTTTACCGTCTTGAATAAATCGAGCAATACAAACATTTCTTAAAAGCCAAAAGAAAATTGGTATTCCTGAAAGGTTTTAAAAAGCCATGTGGACCTATTTTTGTTTTCTTGGGTCTGGGCTGGTGCAGACCTCATATACACAGCCTGTTTGGCATAGTGTGGGGTCAGAGAGCTTTGAAAGATGGGTTTCCACGTGTACTCACCAGGTACTCACCGAGAGTACTAGGTGAGTACCTCGTGTGTGTGGGGGCTTACCTATCCCCCCTTTACACGTAGTGGGGAACTCAGTCACAACATCCCTACTTTGAACAATTTTGTACAACCGTACCTCTCCTCCCTGAACCCCCACCCCCCCCTCTCTCTCTCTCTCCCTCTCTCTCGATACATTTATCATCACACTGACCCATTTTCTATTCGTTATCATCCTTTCATTTTCTCTAAAAGTACTAACGCAGAAATACGACAAAAAATCCAAATGCTTTAGGATAATGAAATCTATTTCCGTATAACGAGGGTTCGGGTAATTAAGCTCAGGTCCTGTGATAATTAGCGAATAACTCCAGATTTATATTTTATTCTATGTAATTATGATTCTCTGAACAGTGTACAGATTATATATTATATATTATAATATATAATAGATTATATATTATATATATTATACATATTATATATATATTATATATATTATATATATTATATATATTATATATATATTATATATATTATATATATATATATATATATATATACACAAACACACACACTGGAGTATGCGGCCCCAGCATGGAGCCCGTACCTTGTCAAGCACAAGACGAAGCTGGAAAAAGTCCAAAGGTATGCTACTAGACTAGTCCCAGAAGTAAGAGGCATGAGTTATGAGGAAAGGCTGCGGGAAATGCACCTTACGACACTGGAAGACAGAAGAGTAAGGGGGATCATGATCACAACCTACAAAATCCTCAGGGGAATCACCGGGTAAACAAGGATAAACTACTCAACACTGGTGGTACGCGAACAAGGGGACACAGGTGGAAACTGAATACCCGCATGAGCCACAGGGACGTTAGAAAGAACTTTTTCAGTGTCAGAGTAGTTAACGGATGGAATGCATTAGGCAGTGATGTGGTGGAGGCTGACTCCATACACAGTTTCAAGTGTAGATATGACAGAGCCCAGTAGGCTCAGGAATCTGTACACCTGTTGATTGACGGTTGAGAGGCGGGACCAAAGAGCCAGAGCTCTACCCCCGCAAACACAACTAGGTGAGTACAACTAGGTGAGTACACACACACACACACACACACACACACACACACACATACCCTAACCTGCATACCATGCAAGCTGATGGAGAAGATTGTGCGAAAAAAACTAGTGGAGCATCTGGAGCGAAGGAACTTTGTAACACAGCATCAACATGGGTTCAGGGATGGCAGGTCCTGCCTCACAGGGTTACTTGAATTCTACGACCAGGCAACAAAAATAAGGCAAGAAAGAGAAGGGTGGGCAGACTGCATATTTTTGGATTGTCAGAAAGCCTTTGATACAGTGCCACACAAGAGGCTAGTGCGAAAGTTGGAGATGCAGGCTGGAGTGAGAGGGAAGGTACTCCGGTGGATAGAGGAATACCTAAGCAACAGGAGACAACGAGTCTGTGTGAGGGGTGAGGTCTCAGATTGGCGAGACGTCACAAGTGGAGTCCCGCAGGGGTCAGTCCTTGGACCTATACTGTTTCTGGTATATGTAAATGATCTCCCAGAGGGTATAGATTCGTTCCTCTCAATGTTTGCCGACGATGCAAAAATTATGAGGAGGATTGAAACAGAGGATGATAGTAGGAGGCTACAAGATGACCTGGATAGACTGAGTGAATGGTCCAACAAATGGCTGTTGAAGTTCAACCCGAGTAAATGCAAAGTAATGAAACTAGGCAGTGGAAACAGGAGGCCAGGCACAGGATACAGAATAGGAGATGAAGTACTTAATGAAACAGACAGAGAGAAAGATCTAGGAGTTGATATCACACCAAACCTGTCTCCTGAAGCCCACATAAAGAGAATAACGTCTGCGGCATATGCGAGGCTGGCTAACATCAGAACGGCGTTCAGGAACCTGTGTAAGGAATCATTCAGAATCTTGTACACCACATATGTAAGACCAATCCTGGAGTATGCGGCCCCAGCATGGAGCCCGTACCTTGTCAAGCACAAGACGAAGCTGGAAAAAGTCCAAAGGTATGCTACTAGACTAGTCCCAGAACTAAGAGGCATGAGTTATGAGGAAAGGCTGCGGGAAATGCACCTCACGACACTGGAAGACAGAAGAGTAAGGGGGGACATGATCACAACCTACAAAATCCTCAGGGGAATCGACCGGGTAAACAAGGACGAACTTTTCAACACTTGTGGGACGCGAACAAGGGGACACAGGTGGAAGCTGAGTACCCAAATGAGCCACAGAGACGTTAGAAAGAACTTTTTCAGTGTCAGAGTAGTTAGCAAATGGAATGCATTAGGAAGTGATGTGGTGGAGGCTGACTCCATTCACAGTTTCAAATGTAGATATGATAGAGCCCAATAGGCTCAGGAATCTGTACACCAGTTGATTGACGGTTGAGAGGCGGGACCAAAGAGCCAGAGCTCAACCCCCGCAAGCACAATTAGGTGAGTACAATTAGGTGAGTACACACACACACACACACACACACACTTTTTATCAGTAAAAAGTTTGATTAAATGTGAAGCATTTTTTTATTTTTTTTATTCGCTTAAAAATTACACCATGTAAATAAGAATTATAATTTAACTACCTGCAGCTTTTGGGCCACATGCGGCGTTGTCCACGCTGGCAGGACCGCTGGCGTTGTCCACGCTGGCAGGACCGCTGGCGTTGTCCACGCTGGCAGGACCGCTGGCGTTGTCCACGCTGGCAGGACCGCTGGCGTTGTCCACGCTGGCAGGACCGCTGGCGTTGTCCACGCTGGCGTTGTCCACGCTGGCAGGACCGCTGGCGTTGTCCACGCTCACGTTCAACACCCATGATAATCCCTAATGCAAATTGTGATGAGATATAATTTGAATATACATACATTTTCCTGCACTATGTATATATGAAGCCTTCGCTGTATAGTATACATTGCACGAGTGCCTTGTGTGAATATGTATTACTCACCGACAGACCAATTCCGTTCTTACATCACAAATATGTACCAAATTGGGCCGAACTTAACCCATTCGAGTGTCGGTTGGATCAACAAACCAATGTTGATCTGCCACACTACACAGACCTCTTGCAACAACAACAGCAACAACAACAGCAACAATAACACAACAATAACAAAAGTTCAAATAGCCACTAGAAACAAACCCATCAGCATCAGCCAAAACAAAGCCAACACAAGACCCTACGACACTAAGCACAATCCCACCGTTTGTAAACGACAACAATCGCTCCTGTAAACGACCTTTTTTTTTTTTTTTACAAACGTTTCTTCTAATAATGAAAATGTAAATCAGTTGAGCGGTGGTGGAGCAGCGAGACGGGTGAGGCAGCTTCCATGTAAATGAATGTGGATTTGTGTGGGCGTTCGCGTGTAAGTATTTACGCATTGTATGCTTGCGTGCGTGTTTGTGCGTTTAGGTGCATTGCGTGTACTTGCCTAACTGTGCTTGCTGGGTGGCGGGGGTTGAGCTTCCGCTCTTTGGTCCCGCCTCTCAACTGTCAATCAACTGGTGTACAGGTTCCTGAGCCTACTGGGCTCTTTCTTATCTACATTTGAAACTGTGTATGGAGTCAGTCTCCACCACATCACTTCCTAATGCATTCCATTTACTAACTACTCTGACACTGATAAACTTCTTTCTAACGTCTCTGTGGCTCATCTGGGTACTAAGTTTCCACCTGTGTCCCCTTGTTCGTGTTCGGCCCGTGCTGAAGAGTTTGTCTTTGTCCACCCTGTCACTTTCCCTGAGAATTTTGTAGGTGGTTATCATATCTCCCCTTACTCTTCTGTTTTCCAGGGACGTGAGGTTCTCTTTTAGTCTTTCCTCGTAGCTCATACCTCTCAATTCTGGGACTAGTCTGGTGACATACCGCTGAATCTTCTCTAACTTTGTCATGTGTTTAACTAGGTATGGACTCCAGGCTGGAGCTGTATATTCCAGGATTGGTCTGACATAAGTGGTATACAAGGTCCTGAACGATTCCTTACACAGTTTTTAAAGGCAGTTCTTATATTGGCCAACCTAGCATATGCCGCTGATGATATCCTTTTGATGTGGGCTTTTGGGGACAAGTCCGATTTGATATCAACCCCCAGATCTTTCTCTCTGTTTGACTCGTGCAGGATTTCACCTCCCAGATGGTACCTTGTGTTCAGCCTTCTGCTCCCTTTGCCTAATTTCATTACTTTACACTTTCCTGAGTTGAACTTTAGCAGCCATTTTCTAGACCATTCCTCCAGTTTGTCCAGGTCATCCTGTAGTCTCTGTCTATCTTCATCTGTCTTGATTCTTCTCATAATTTTTGCATCATCAGCAAACATTGAGAGGAATGAGTCTATACCCTCCGGAAGATCATTTACATATATTAGAAACAGGATGGGTCCAAAAACAGAACCCTGTGGGACTCCGCTGGTGACATCTCGTCACTCTGATGTCTCCCCCCTCACAGTTACTCGCTGTTTCTTCTTGCTTAAACATTCCCTTATCCACTGGAGCACCTTACCTTTTACTCCTGCCTGTTGCTCCAACTTTTTTAACTGCGTTTTTTGAGGTACTGTGTCAAAGGCTTTCTGGCAGTCCACGCTGTCGCTCTCTCTTCCTCTCTCTCTCTCTCTCTCTCTCTTCCCTCTCTCTCTCTCGTTCCCTCTCTCTCTCTCGTTCTCTCTCTCTCTCTCTCTCTCTCTCTCTCTCTCTCTCTCTCTTTCGTCCCGTCTCTCTCTCTCTCTCTCCTCCCTCTCTTTCGTTCCCCCTCTCTCTCTCTGTTTAAAAAAAAACAAAACAAAATGCGTGTGTGTGTGTGTGTGTGTGTGTGTGTGTGTGTGTGTGTGTGTGTGTGTGTGTGTGGTGTGTGTGTTGCACGCATTTTGCATGCTGAAGCTTTGCAGCGCCTAAACGTGCACGCAATAACCCTTGCCACTGTGTTTGTGGATGCGTAAGGTGTGTGACGAAATTGCTGCGTCAATTTTCCAATCCCAATTTCCCGTTATTGTGACCCCCCCCCCCTTCCCCCCCCTCCCCCATAGCCTAAGTTCTCCCTAACTCTGGTTTCATTTACCGTTGTCTTAGAAATATATTTAGCTACGTGAGCAATATTTCAGGCAAGACATTTTAAATGGTTTCCAGGCAGCCAATTGTCTGAAATTTGCTACTACGTGCAAGATTCATTCATTCTCTCTCTCTCTCTCTCTCTCTCTCTCTCTCTCTCTCTCTCTCTCTCTCTCTCTCTCTCTCTCTCTCTCTCTCTCTTCTCTCTCTCTCTCCCTCTCTCTCTCTCTCTCTCTCTCCTCTCCCTCTCTCACGTTCACTCAACTTGATTCCTCCTCAACTTTCAGACATTTTGCTCAAAAAGATTCAATGAACTTCATTTTTGGGAGTGGGGCTGTATGATGAAAATGATGTCTTAGCTGGTAATAGTCACTCCCGGTTCGCGATGTCCTCTCCCGGTTCGCCAGGTCCTCTCCCGGTTCGCCAGGTCCTCTCCCGGTTCGCCAGGTCATCTCCCGGTTCGCCAGGTCCTCTCCCGGTTCGCGAGGTTCTCTCCCGGTTCGCCAGGTCCTCTCCCGGTTCGCCAGGTCCTCTCCCGGTTCGCCAGGTCCTCTCCCGGTTAATCGCCAGGTCCACTCCCTCGCCCGGTTCGCCAGGTCCTCTCACCGGTTCGCCAGGTCCCTCTCCCGGTTCGCCAGGTCCTCTCTCCCGGTTCGCCAGGTCCTCCTCTCCGGTTCGCCAGGTTCTCTCCCGGTTCGCCAGGTCCTCTCCCGGTTCGCCAGGTCCTCTCCCGGTTCGCCAGGTCCTCTCCCGGTTCGCCAGGTCCTCTCCCGGTTCGCCAGGTCCTCTCCCGGTTCGCCAGGTCCTCTCCCGGTTCGCCAGGTCCTCTCCTGGTTCGCCAGGTCCTCTCCATATTACCCATTCCATGAAGCACCACTGATGTACGACCACCAGTTTCCACATTCATATAAAAAGAGAAAAACTTTCCTAATATAAATTATTTATGTCCATAAATACATAAATTCACTCTCCTACAACTCGCCCTAACCAAACCAACATTCTCGGTCTATTTAGTAGCATATTAACACCTATCTTGGTTCTAACGATTTAAATAATAATATTATTTACCTCAACGAACTCCACTGAATCTAACCTAAAATGTTTTCACAAATTGACATATTTTCGAATATAAAAAAAGTCGTAATTTCAAACTCCAGATATGTGCAGTGGGCCAGAATTCGGCTGCAAAATAACGCTCATGAGTCAGATTTCCAAATATGTGCTCATGATCCAAATATGTGCTTTCTAAATATGTGCTCACGAAGCCTCACGTTACGTAACGTCATTCCCTCCAAAACGACTCTATACCAAGCACACATTTGTGTACGTTCTCGTAACAATGTACACAGTAGCGCAACAATGTAATTGGGTTATCCAATGTTGTAGTTACGTTGTGTGTGTGTGTCTGGGTCCCATAACTGCTAGATGAAACGAGGTTCTTGTATATCCTTAAGTGAAGGGATTTGTGAAACTAGACTCAGTTGTTTAAGTCTCTCTCCCTCTCTCTCCCTCCCTCTCTCTCCCTCCCTCCCTCTCTCTCTCTCTCTCCCTCCCTCCCTCCCTCTCTCTCTCTCCCTCTCTCTCCCTCCCTCTCTCACCAGTCGGTCAGCTAAAGCTTCGCTTGGAATTGCAATTTATTTCCACTGGGTCAGCAAGTGTGGGGGGCTGAGGGGGGAGGCCGGGTCTTCACCAGACAAGAACGACGCCGCCTCATCTTTAGGAGGGACTGCTTGTTGAAACGTCGAAGGTCAGTGAGGAGTAACTCGTCTACACTCTCTCTCTCTCTCTCCCCTTCACTCTCTCTTTCTCTCCTTCATTCTCTCTTTCTCTTTCTCCTTCCCTCTCTCTTTCTCTCTCTCCTTCATTCTCTCTTTCTCTCTCTCCTTCATTCTCTCTTTCTCCCTCCTTCCCTCTCTCTCTCCCCTTCCTTCTCTCTTTCTCTCTTCCCTTTCTCTTTCTCTCTTCTTCCCTCTCTCTCTCTTCCTCTTTCTCGTTCCTTCTCTCTCGTTCGTTCCCTCTCTCTCGTTCGTTCCTCTCTCTCTCTCTCTCTCTCTCTCTCTCTCTCTCTCTCTCTCTCTCTCTCTCTCTCTCTCTCTCTCTCTCTCTCTCTCTCTCTCACTCTCTCGTCCTCCAAGCGCAGTACTGCATTGGACAAATGAAAACAATACCTGTGTTTTCTTAAAATAAATAAATTAATAAAGTTATATAATAAATATGTCCAAATAAAGAAACAATAACTATCAACAATCCGTGTTCATTGAACTTTAATAAGTTATCTGGCCTGGCAGCGACCCACAAATACACTAATGACCAATTTAAATATGTATTTCAGTTCATTACGGGAATATAAATATATGAACCAACCTAAATATTTACTTGAACGAGAGTATACATAGTGCCAGGCTAATTATGTAATGTATACTGTAACAGGATCGAGCCTCGAACTAGGGAACAGGATCTGGCACCTTTTGATCACGTGGCCTGGCTCCTGGGGCTTCAATCACTTGAGTGACACTTTTCTCACAAGTGACGGCCAGAAGTCTACACTAACTTACTGAAGAGTCACTTACAAATTGTTTTGAAGCTGTTCTCGCTGTCTGTCTATAGTTAATCTGGGGAAATGAGAGCATCCGATTGTCCTTTTTAGTCGACAAGGATTCGTAACTCTCGCTGGAGCTTCGACGGTGTCGTAACTCCTCGCTATAGAGCTTCGACGGTGTCGTAACACCTCGCTATACAGCTTCGATGGTGTCGTAACTCCTCGCTATAGAGCTTCGACG